TTTTACAACCCATCTAAAAAAAATCATCACATTTACCTATATATGTGGTCGGCTTATGCTCTTTAATTGTAGAGACAGATTAAAAGATTGGATAAAGATCCTGCCACTCAGCACCCTGCAGAGCCAGGATCCAGCCTGGATTAAAACCTGGATTATTATTGTTTTTTTTTTTTTTTATTTTAGGAAGAAAAACAACAGAAAGCCTTTAACATATCAGTTCATATCCGAGCTTTAAACATCAGGATGTTCACCTTTATTTAAACACAAATCATTTGATCACCGGCAGCACGAGAGGCTGCCAGACACGTGCGAACAGGAAGTGCCAAGACTCGTGCTGTCTTTGCTTTCAGCACCTTTTCTGTCAGCTGAGCTCCATCGTTCCCACTTTGCTTCAGGTGTCTCCGCTTATTTCAGAAATGACACAATTTCTAACCTTTTTTTTCTCTGATCCTGATCTTTTTTTTTTCATTTTAGATCCAAACGCGCGTTTAATTTGCAGAAATAAATGTTAAACATCAAAACTTCTGTTTACATAAAAAGATATATATACATAAAATTTATGATGTTTTTGTGCAGTCATTTTATATTTTAGTTTCAATTTGAAATAGTTGCAACATGCACGTAAGTTCGAGGGTTTTTCTTTAAGATAAATTAAAATACAAAATAAAAATGAAATAAAGAGGAAAGTCACATCTTCACTGCAGAGGTTATGTCCAACAATAGGATTAAAGGGCGGTTTTAGTAGGATTATTTAAAAAAACAGCTTCTATTAAATGCTTTATTCATAAATCATAATATCATTTACAAAATTTGCAGATAGGTTATTTCATGGAGGCATAAACTGTAAAAAAATAAATAAACGCACGTGGTATAAAAATAAAAAAATACAAGTCGTGGATAAACAGTATGAGCTGTTTTTTTCCTGATGAATATTAGTGAATAGGTAGGTTTTATCTGAGTGTTCACGCTTTCTGCTGCTTTTTTTTATTATTATTCTTTTTGTTTTTTTTTTTGCTGTAAAATCAGCTCCAGCCTCGCCTTGACCTTGGTTTTTCTCGAGCAGCCGCCTCACCTCCCGATCGGTTGCTTGTCACCATGCTTTCCATAAAATCATTAAGGGATTAATTAAGCTGGAGATGGAACAGGCAAACGAAATTAAGACGGAGGAGGGGGAAAAATCGATATGTCGTCAAAAAAAAAAAAAGATTATTTTATTGCACTGAAGGCGAGCAGCTCTGAGACCAGCACCTTGGACAGAGACAGAACGCGGCTTTTCATGTCAGAGTGCTATAAATACAAGAAAACACATTTCTTTTAATGCTATAAAAAGACGGTTTTGCTGCCGAAAAAATGAAAACAAGAGCTTCTATTAATCATCCATTTTCAGTTGAATTTTGCAACGAATAGAATAAAGCAAATTATGTAAAACCTGCAGGTTTTATTCATTTTGACGCACAAGAATCAGTTTGTCTGTGTTTGAAATCCGACGTGAATGTGTGTTTGTTGCAGAGATCCCTCAGTGTGCGGGCTGCAGTCAGCACATCCTGGATAAGTTCATCCTGAAGGTGTTGGACCGACACTGGCACTCCAAGTGCCTGAAGTGCGCGGACTGTCACACTCCGCTGGCCGACAAATGCTTCTCCCGGGCGGGCAGCGTCTACTGCAAGGAGGACTTCTTCAAGTCAGTGTCCTCTCCTTTTCTGTTCCCATCATCTAAACTGTTCTTTGTTCTTATTATTTCTCGCCTATTTCTCATAATATTTACTCATAATCTGCATTTTTTTTACTTTCAAAAAATGCAACCTTGAATAGAAATTGTTTAAATTAAATCTGTTATACAATGTAAAGTCAATCCTGTGATTGTGTGTCTGTTAGCAAAAATATCTCATGAACCACTGCGCAGATTTTAATGATTTTTTAAAAAAAGATTATCTTTGGGTGCACATTAGTACAAAAAGTTCATCTTTGGTAGATTATTTCTTTGTTGTAAATGTTTCTTGGCAATAAGTGACTGGCAGCACCTGCCAGAAACTCAAAAAAGAGCCAATAGCAGCAACAAAATAAGCCTTTTCAAAGAGAAAATTTGACAAAATTTTCATGTGCGCAACCCACACTCAGCTCTGTTGCTCATCCCACAGACGCATGTTCCTTACAAATGTGGCACCATTTTAAAAGTGAAATTAATAGATTTTACAACAGATTTATTGCCAAGGATTATTACAACAAAGAAATAATCTACAAATATCCTTACTTTTATTTATAAGCTCAAACGGCTGCTGCAGCCAACTGACTTTAGAAAACAGAAAAAGGACCTAAATTTAGCTAATTTTACAGATGATCCGAAATTCAGGGTGGTAGTAGCTGAGAATAATTTGAGTGTGTGATATCTTTTGCCAATATTCTGTCGGTTAGCAAAATATCTCATGAATAAAGGATGGATTAGTGCCTCTAAAACTCATTAATTAGACCTTGGCCAAAAAAAATAGTTATAACATAAAAATATAGCTAAAGCTTGATATGGTAGCTCAGAGTTATCCCCCCACATGCTCTGAGCGCTAACATACCGGAGTAAATACTGCCTCTGATTATGAATACCTTGATAGGTTTCAGCAAAATGGCTACAATATCGCTGATATTTTTTAACTTTGGCCAAAAATGATGGCGGGCAACCTAAAGAAGTGTTGAAACAAAACACATCTGGTAAACAGCTGCCTAAATTGCATTTTGATTGTGTTTATATACTTATTTATCTTGTGTAATTTGCACATATTTCACCACATTAGTCACCCATGAAGTAGGAAAAATTTCTCCCTTTTCCATATCTCACTTAAAGCTTCGAATGCAAAATCCTTTTATTTCCTCTGTCTTCTCACCATTTTTTATTATTTTTTTAATGATTGGATTTTAGAAGCATTACTGAAGAAAATTGAGTTTGACTTTCATCCAAAACAGGATCAGCAGATCCTGAGCTTTTTACTAAATCACGCTTGAAAGGTTTTAATGCTTCAAAGCTCGAACGAGACCTGAGGAGCTCCGGAAGTCTAAAGTGTGTTAGCTGACCCCAGGCACGTGTGTGTCTGTGGGGCCAGCGGGGGGCAAGTTGAAACTGTTTTTTTAACGTGGAAAGGAAAAAGGAAAAAAAAACAGAGTGGGAGATTTTTATTGGAGATATGCTGGTTTATATTTTTCCATGGTGTGATTTAAAGCTTCTCCTGAGTCAGTGTTTTATTGGTTCTCCTCAGGGTGTGTTTACTGTGCAGCCTTCCTCCTCCTCTTCCTCCTCCTCTTTAGCTCTCCATATTTCATCATGCAAACACATAAGCATGCAAACATGCACAGCTCATACATTACATCGATCCCGTCCATCAATCAAACTGCTTGGACATCTATTGTTAAAAGAAATGCCCTTCATTGTGGATTTTTTTCCCCTCCTCCTCCAGCTCCTCGACAGCTGGAGCTTCTAATAATTCAGACACTTATATGCATTTAAAGAAAAAAAAACAGTCTGCTCATTAATAATGCCCCATCCTGTTTTTTTCTTCAGGCGCTTTGGAACAAAGTGTGCGTCATGCCAACAGGGCATCCCTCCGACGCAGGTGGTGCGAAAGGCGCAGGACTTTGTGTATCACCTGCACTGCTTCGCCTGCATCATGTGCAGCAGGCAGCTGGCCACCGGGGACGAGTTTTACCTCATGGAGGACGGCAGGCTGGTGTGCAAGGTGGATTATGAGACGGCCAAACAGAATGGTAAGCGCTCAGAGTGTGTTCACAGAACCTGCAGCCTCATGTGTGATATTCTGCTGAAAGCCCCCCCACGCCCGACTTGAATGGGCTGCATCAGAATTGCAGAGGAGCATGATAGATCAAGCTGTATGCACTCCTCAGCGCAGTGAAATAACTTGTGACTGTGGATCGTTGGTGTTTGTCATCTGGGTGTGTGTGTGCGCGCGCTCTGTCCCTCCCTCTCCTCGGAGATTTCCATGCATCTCTGATTGATTATGTAAAGTGAACCAGTGCTCTTATATGGTGCGGCTCCAATAACTCCTCTCCTCTGGCACTGAGTAGATTTATGTCCTCTGCTGTGGGAGCGGGACAGATGCACAAGGACAATAATACACTGCCACGCGTGGCCGTTCACTTCATTTAACACACAAACACTCGTCACGAGAAGGTTGCACGGGCCACAGGCTGTGGAGATGCCACTCACATTTGTCGTGGTGTTTTTTTTTCTTCTTTTTTTCCAGATGACTCGGAGGCGGGGACCAAGCGACCGAGGACCACCATCACCGCTAAGCAGCTGGAGACCCTAAAAAGTGCCTACAAGAACTCGCCGAAGCCGGCACGCCACGTCCGAGAGCAGCTGTCCTCAGAGACGGGGCTGGACATGAGAGTCGTGCAGGTAGACAGTTTTAGTTTTGAATGATTTCTGTTTCTACTTAACTGTTAGAAATTAACGAAGGCTCTGCTTGTAGGGAATTGTATTTTCCTTATATCTTAAAGGAGACATATCATGCTTTTAAATCCTTCTTTTTCACATTTAAATCATCAGTTGGGGTCCATATGAAGTGGACCTGCAATGCTTTGGTCTGAATTCCTCCTTATTGCAACTCCACAAGCCCCTCTTTCATCTGTCTCAGCTCAACTCATTTTGAGGCTGTCTCTTTAAATCCAAACAAGGCACTTCAAGCCCCACCCCACTTCAGACCGGTCCATTCCAATTTGATAGAAGGGTTTACGACTATATAGCGGCACAGAAACTTTTTATTTACAAATTAATTAAAATATGTCAACAATAGAAGACTTGTCCATCCAGCCTTACATGTTGGAGCCAGAGCCTGAGGAGAATGAAGACTATCAAATTGTAGTTGGTAAGTCCAGACCTTATTTAGAAGTTCTGTTGAAATGTAAAACATCATCAAAAATAGAGAAAATTGAACAGGTTGAAAAATATAATCCAAACAATATCTTTCCAGCCCTAGGAGAGACTAAATTCAACTTTTCTGCACTCCTACAGGCTCAGAGTAGGCTACACAACAAAATGTATTTAACGGCTAAAAAAATAGATTTTTGTATACGTCCGTTTTAACATATTTTTGCAAATGAGCTACTTTGGTTATTTAAAAAAAAGCTTTGTATGTTGATTCTATTTTTGCTTCTTTTCATCAGAAAATAAATTCCTTAAAGAACATTTTCGTTAGATCCCTTCAAGCTTCACATCATCTCCCTACCTTTTCTCCAGAATTCATTTTTTTCCTGAACCCTTTTGATTTTAAAGAGTCACCATCTCTCCCCTCAATAAAAGGAGTGGTGTCTTACATGTTCTCATGTCGGACTCGTCTCCTTATAGAGGTTCTTAACATTTGTAACCCTGTCACTCTGTTGAAGTCTATATGAAATTCAGACTCGGGGTTCTTGATTTCAGATAATGCGTGGGCAAAAGTTTCAAAGCAAAATATTTTCAATCTGCTCGTAACACTAAAGCCAGACTCGCAAAACTCCTCGACAGTGTTGCCTCTGTGTGATCGAAGCTAGAAGGCCTTCATTCAGAGATTCTGCTCTGATATTTTTTCTTACAATAATGTAACATTGCTCCTGTAAGAGCCTTGTTCGGTGTGTGGCCTACTTCGTTTGCTCTCTGTCCTGCTAAAAAGAACTTAATTGCATTCACAACCTGCCAGGAGGCTAATTCTGCTCAAATGGAAGCCTGCTGCTCCACTAACATGTAAACGCTGGATTAGAGAGGACCTGTCTTATTCTTAATTTGAAAAATCTCAGGTTAAATTCATGTTGATAAGGCTGTATCATTTAAAATAATCTGGAATCTCTTTATTTATATTAAAGGTTTTGGATTATTTTGAATTGAGATGTTTTAGTTGTTGCTTTTAGCTTCTTATTTCTCTTTCATCAGTCTGTCAAAGCTACATGCCAGCGTTTTAGACAGTGAAAAAAAATTGAATTTATTGAAACCCTATTTTAAAGATGTGATTTTTTGTCAGAAGTCATTGGCAGCACATTTAATGAAACTGTTTTTAATTTATCCTTTTGTCAGAAACAAAATAAGTGATTTATCAAAAATTACAAATGAAAACACAATTTACGCACACTCAATTTTATGTTTGAATTGAACCTTTTTATGACATTGCTTAACATTTACAATGAAAATATATATTTTTATGTTAGAAGATATTACTGAAATATTTAACACTAAACCACATACTGTATATTATCATTTATTATGATAATAACCTGCTGAATTAATACACATATAAAAACACCCTAAAGCATCTGATTATTAAATTTGAAAGACAAAATGTTTTTTTTTTGTGATATTTTGTATTTGTTGCAGCAAGTCTGTAATGTAAACAAAAATGCTAAATAATAAATTTGAATAAAGATTATGCTTTGCTTCAGGTTTGGTTTCAGAACCGGCGAGCCAAGGAGAAGCGTTTGAAGAAAGATGCGGGTCGGCACCGCTGGACCCAGTTTTATAAAAGTGTCAAACGCAGCCGGGGAGGAACCAAAGTGGAGAAGGAGAGCTCAGCCGACGACGCAGGACTTAGCGACAGCGAACTGAGCTTCAGAGGTAATTTAAATCAATCCATTTGTCTAACAGAGACGCACCTGGAAGGGAACGATCAGACAAGGTGTTGTGTTAAAAGGATTAACCTTCAAGCTGCTAAATGACAGGAGAATTACAGAGACTGAATGCACTTCTTTGTTGTTTGTTTTGCTGCTTTCTTTGTTTCGTCTCTCATGCAAACCCAAGCTTGCATTCTGAGTCCACATTTTCTCCAGAACTGTTGAAGCCTCTGTTTATCTGTGCGGTGAAGCTTATTGGAAATGAACAAATATGCATCGCTGGGATGCAAATGGCAATTTTAGACCTCCTTTTCTTATTAAATATTTGCAATTCCCATTTTGGATGGTTGTAAAAAGTCTCTGAGCCACTTTTCAAAAAAAGGCCATTTTTATGAGAAATGAAAACATGGTGACAGAAACTCTATAAAGCATGTGAGGCTTTTAGTCAATTAGAGAGAAAGCGCTCTGGGGCTTTGTTGTTGTACTGAAGTCGCACAGGGGATCGATTGGAGATGAAAACAAATATTTTGTGCTGCAGTAATTGCACACAGAGTTGCAGGTGTAGATTTGAGGCAGGGCTGTGGAGACCCTGCATTGTTGAAAACATGTGGCTCGTAAACAAGAGAAATGAGAAGCAGAACTTTATTTTTGATAGCTTTGATTTCACTCAAATGCATCTTTTTTTCAACTCTGTGCTGCTTTTATGAATCAAAAATTTCAGGTTGAAGGACATGAATTATTTCAGGATTTCAATGTTTTGGGAAAAAATTCCAGGAAAAGAGGTAGTCTGGTAATATTTTTTTTAATTAATAGTTAGCAATAGGATCAGCAGTCTTGGATAAACTGCAAAGTGATACTTGAGTAAAACTAGTATCTTACCACAAAATTAAAAGTCTCCTCTAGGAATATTACACAAGTAAAAGTTTTAAAGTATCTGACGTTATTTAAGTATTAAAAGTAAATTTTTGATATAAAATGTACTTAAGTACTAAAGGTAAAAATATTGAGTAAATGTGAGCTGTTAGAATGTGAAACATGACTTACTGGGAGGTAATTTTTGCATTTTTCTAAAGGCCGTAATGATTGTAATGTTATAGGCTGCCTGTTTCAGCTGGTTGTGTATCTCTAACACACACACACACACACACACACACACACACACACACACACACAC